ACACACAAAACACCTGTTGGCTCAATGAAACACAATGTTGAACACTTAGCACGATTTAAGACACCAAAGTCCTACATGGATACCTACCATATAGTTCTAGACGTACGAAACATCAAGAAGACACTCAAATAGTTCCACAAAAGAACAACAGGAAGTCAAAAGACCAAATACCGAGTCAAACAAATCACGGGGAACAAATCCCGAACAAACACCACTCGTGTACCCACGGGTGGACCCACGGGTAGTGCCCCACCCGTGGTTCCGCCTGCGGGAACACATTCCCACAAGGCATTGTACCCGCGGGTAGGCCGGCGGGTGGTGCCCCGCCCGCGGGAACATTCCTGTTCCACAACAAATCCCTTTGGGGATTTTCTTCTCCAAACACAAATTCAAGTCCAAAACATGGCAAATCTCACCCAACACAACACAATGACTTGAATCATGGAAAATGCCAAGCAATGGCATAAAGGAACCCTAAACACAAGCTCTAGATATGCAATATCACAAGACAAATGCATAAACCCTCACATTTCATAGCAAAACATAAGTAGAATCCAAAAAATCACATATAGGTAAGTAAAATAGGTTTTGTAGAGCATGGGTTACCTCTTGAAGACCAAAAGACTTCACTTTACACCACAACAAGCTCACTACAAGGCTTACTTTCCAAACCCACTTCAAGATTAAACCAAAAGATCATAAAGATCCTACCTTCAAGAAAAAGACAACTAAGATGGAACCAAAAACACAAGATGAACTTAGATCTTACCCTCCTAGATGCCCAAATAGGTGAAAGGTTGAATCTTGGAATCTTGACAAGGGTCTCAACTTGGCTTGGAGAATAAGCTACACTTCTTTTCTAGAGAGAAGGTAGAACTAATTTCTAAGAATTGTAGGGAATGAAATGAAGAAGTCTTCTAGGTTAGTTTACAATACTAACTCTTGGTGAAAAGACAAGAATACCCTTACTAACCCTTAGAAAGTGTAAGGAACAAGGGAACTCCCCTCAAAGCACAAGGTACAACACAACTTAAAGGTTGACTAGTCAAATACTAGTCTTTGAGTATTAAAAAATTAGGATTTTAGGAATTAACTCCTCAAATACAATAGGATTAATTACTCAATTAATCCATGGATTGAATGTGGATTTTTGGGGTGTCACAATGAGAGAGTACGAGTTAGACTAGATTAGCATAGATAGCTAGTTATAGTCTAAACTCTTGATGTTGGTGGTGTTTTGAGATTTGTAGTTGAATTACCTTTTTGTTTTGATGGTGCTGGACACCGGGGTCTTATCCCCTAGTTTGCTTTAATGTTAGTAAGACTTGAATGGTTTAGTTTGTTTAACCTTTGCCTGTGCAATTATCGTGAACGGTGATTGTGGCGGTGACACCTCTATTAAGCTTGTTTAGTAAGTTTATTCCGCTGGCTTAGTTTATCTTTCAAGGTTAAGTCTGTTAATAAGGTTTAAGAAAAGTGGGGTGTTACATCATGGGTTTGATACCCCCTAGTAATAATTCTAATAATATTTTGCTCCAAGCTTCCTTCTTTCCTTAGCTTGATAGAATTCCATTATTCTTGTTGGGCCAAGACCTCACCCACAAAGATGGACACCGCGGTAGGGCCGACTTTCCCAATAAAATGGGCTCCCCAGGGTCCCATATCGCCATCACAAGTCCCCCACTTTCTTTAGGCATCTGGATGCCTTAAGGAAGTATAATTCAATACCACCACCTCCTCCATTTCCCAAACTCAAATTCCAGTTCCCAAATTTTCCAGATACTTGTCGTTCCCCCACCATCGTACGGTACTGCCACACGCCACACTACTACGCGCCACGCCATTACCGCGTGCCTCTGCCACACACCGCTACGCACACCGCACGTCGCATGACCTGCTTCATCACCTAGTGTCGAGAGGTCAAGGTGACTCCTCAATTGTCGTGCTTCTTGGATGTTTCTTGTACTGGACATCTTCCTCGCTATTTAGTACTCGGCTTCATTTGAATATCTAGATGTCTTTACTGCTTCACATTGTCCTCCCTTGCTTCTTTGTTTTGCTCTGTTGATTTCTCCATGTTGTACCTGTAACCTTTTTTTTTTTTTTTTTTTTTTTTTTTTTTTTTTTTTAATGCTTTAGTCATAGCCTTCACCCCCATTGGAGAGAGGTATTACCTTTCGCTTGGTGGGCTGAGCGCCCTCTGGAACTTGTATACTGCATGCCGCAAAAATGCCCGCGGACTGCCTACCCTGCCATGCAAGTTCGCGCATGTGGGTTGCGATAACCCACATGCCCCAGCCACCAAAATGCACGCGGATTGCCTACCGTGTCATGCAAGTCCGCGCATGTGGGTTGCAATAACCCACATGCCCCAGCCACCAAAATGCGTGCGGACTGCTTACCCTGCCATGCAAGTCCGCGCATATGGGTTGCGATAACCCACATGCCCCAACCACCAGAATGCACGCGAATTGCCTACCTTGTCATGCAAGTCCGCACATGTGGGTTGCGATAACCCACATGCCCCAGCCACCAAAATGCATGCGGACTGCCTACCTTGCTATGCAAGTCCGCACATGTGGGTTGCGATAACCCACATGCCCCAGCCACCAAAGTGCATGCGGACTGCCTAATCCGGAAAGTCCGCGCATGTGGTTGGCGATAACCCACACGCTTTAACCTCCAAAATGCATGCGGACTGCTTAGACCAGCAAGTCTGTGACACCCCAAAAATCCAAATCCAATTAAGGGATTAATTGAGTAATTAATCCTATTTCAATTTGTAATTTAATTCCTTAAATTCCTGAAATTTAATAGTTGGGGACTAGTAATTGACTAATCAACCCCAAAGTCAAATTTGTACCTTGAGCTTTGTAAGGAGTTCCCTTGCTCCTTACACTTCCTTATGTTAGTAAGGGTATTCTTGACCTTTCCCTTGTTGTTGGTAATGTAACCTAACCTAGTAAGACCACTTTCATTATATCCTTACACTTTTCTAAAAATCTAGCTCCACCCTCTCTCTAAAAGGCGCGTAGCTTTTCTTCCAAGCCAAGTTGGAACCTTGCCAAAACTTCAAGAGTTGCTTCCAAGATTCAACCTTTCTTATATTTGAGCATCTAGGAGGGTAAGATCTAAGTTCATCTTGTGTTTTTGGTTTTATCTAAGGTGTCTTTTCTTAAAGATAGGATCTTTATGATATTTTGGTATGTTCTTGAAGTGGGTTTGGAAGGTGAGCCTTGTGAGGAGCTTGTTGAGGTGTAAAGTGAAGTCTTTAGTCTACAAGAGGTAACCCATGCTCTACAAAACCTATTTTTGCTTACCTATATGTGATTTCTTAGATTCTACATGTGTTTTGCTATGAAATGTGAGTGTTGATGCATGATCTTGTGAATATGCATATCTAGAGCTTGTGTTTAGGGTTCTTTTGTGCCATTGCTTGGTATTTCCTTTGATTCAAGTCATTTTGTTGTATTTGGTGAGATTTGGCATGTTTTGGACTTGAATTTGAGTTGGAGATGAAAAATCCGCGAAGTCGGTTTTGTGGTACAGGACATGTACCCGCGGGCGGGGCACCACCCACGGGTACAAGCCTTGTGGGAATGTGTTCCCGCGGGCGGAACCACGGGCGGGGCACCAACCGTGGGTCCACCCGCGGGTACACAAGTGGTGTTGTTGGGGGATTTGTTCCCCGTGATTCCTTTGACTCGGTATTTGGTCTTTGGACTTTCCGATGTTCTTTTGTGGAACTATTTGAGTGTCTTCTTGATGTTTCGTATGTCTAGAACTATATGGTTGGAATCCATGTAGGTTTTGGTGTCGTGAATCGTGCTAAGTGTTCAACATTGTGTTTCGTTGAACCATGATGAGTCTTGTGTGTTCTTCGGAACTACGTTTGGTTTACCCGTTTGATAAGCATGCTAGTTCAGTGTTTGAATGCTAGCGTGTGTGTTGTTTGTACCTTCTTATTGGTTGATGATAACTTGTGTTATTCATCGTTGTTGTTGTTGGACTGTGTTCCATTCCTTGATTGAGTATGGTTTCATATCTTCGTTGTGATCCGTTGATTGATTCCTGTTGTGGTGTGATGTGTGTGTGTGGCTTTACCTGGATTGCACGATTAGTGGAATGGGACACTAGTCACCAAGGTATTGCAGCGGTCCTCGTGGTGGTCGTGACGTGATTATGGAGTTTGTAGCCTTCGTGTAAGGTTCACGTGTTTATGGGGGATAACATGTGTTATCCAGGGCATGTGTTGCTATGTGTGATCGGTACCTCGTGTACTATGAAATCGGTGGTTTTGTTGGAGGGACTGTTGGAGGGGGAACGACGGTTCCTGGAGGAATAAGGTTGGACTTGGTGTACAGGGGTCCTGGAGGTAAAGGTTGGAACTAGACATAAGGTTGGAACCGGGCATAAGGAAGGCATATCAACTCGTGATGAGTGATGTCACGAGGGCTTGTGTAGCCATGGTTGTGTGTTCTATTCTTGTGATGTGTGTAGTCACAAAGGCATGTGTTGTGATACCCCGATTATTTGAGTATTATAATTTGTTATAAGTAAACTGTTTAAAAAAAATTACTACTATTATGTTATGGTTATTAATATTCCTAAACCCATAATACTTATATGATAATAATAAATTAATTTTTAAATCCTAAAACTAATATGTTTATATTATATTAAATAAATTTAACTTAAGTTATAGTATGTATATGTGATTCTCCAGTACGTTAGATATATATATATATATATATATATATATATATATATATATATATATATATATGTGTGTGTGTGTGTGTGTGTGTGTGTGTGTGTGTGTGTGTGTGTGTGTGTGTTAGTTTATTAGATTAATGTTAGTTTATTAGATTAAGTTTGAGATATATATGTCTAGTCAGGATGTAATTCTATGATATTAGTTACCTAAACCTTTTTAAATTCACTCTCTAATTCTTAACACACGCTGCTACTGGAATCAAAAGAAATACAAAAACAAACCCTAGCATATACGACACCTTCCCCTCCTAAATCATCATCTTCGCAGTCGACACTCTCATTCTTTTCATTCCCAGTTTCGGCTTCGACACAAGAGAACTCCTGGGTGTCAATTTTTCTTCCATCTAGTGTCATCTATTCGTAAGTTTAATTATATGTTTGTGGTAAAATTTCTATGATTATATGCTTATGTGATTTCCTGTGTTTATATGGACATTCAATTTGGTTTAGAAGGAGAGTTTGCAGAGGAGCAAACGTAGGACTCGGGTCAAGTGTGTGATTTGTTTTACGTATCCAGGTAAGTGCTTATGTCTATCAAAAATTACTTTTACTCTGTAAAAATATATATATACTTCGTGATTTTGTGGGCATATGTGATATGGTATTTTGTGGTGATTGAAAAGGATAACTTTTACACAATTTGATCATTGCCTGAGAAAATTCTGACTGGCGCAGCTGGAAAGAAAAATTCGTGAAAATTGTTTCCTAAATTTGTTTTTGCTTGAATTTTTTTATGGAGAATCTAGACTTGTTATATTTGATGTTTATAAAAAGTTTTGGTTAAAAATATGTTTCGGTTTTTCCAGAATAATTTCGTAAAGTTTAGGCAGTGTTCTGCCAGTTAAATTACAGTCTGGTGCTGTGTTGAGAAGAATTTTGGTAAAAATACTTCTAGGCCTTAGATTGGCTTGAAACTTTTTGTGTGTATTCTAGACTCTTTATACTACTTATCTGGAAAATTTCATATGAAAATGTGTTACTGATTTTTCCCAGTAAATTCTGCAATTCAGGTCATAGTTTCTGAAAATTTTTGACAGTTTCTTATTTGAGATATTGAGAAGTTGTTTGCTTGTGAAATATCATTACTCTTGTTTTTTATAAATGTGGTGAATAAAAAGGTTTTTTTTTTGACTCATATAGTATCCAACTATGATTCTGGATTTACCCAATTTGTTGAGGAATGAACAGTTGAAATATACTGATTCACTAGGGAGCCTAAAAACTCTCTGTTAATTGAGGAGTGAGCAGTAGAAACATATCCTGTCTCACTAGGACTTTTAGTCCTGTTGTTTTCAGGAGTGGTTAGCGGAGTCTACCACTAGGGTATTTACCCTGTTGAGTAGTAGTCAGTAGAAACGTATCCTGGCTACTAGGACTAGTTACTACCCGTTGGGCTTGGAAACCCATTGGGGGTGTGCACACTTAAGGTATTAGTTCTGTTCCACTTAAATGGGATTTTTGTGTAGTGTTCAGTAGAGTGAGTACTGTTCACTAGGGCTTATCAAATAAGACCCTGCCCATTATTTGGTTGGTTTAAATGGGATTTTTGCGTAGTGTTCAGTGGAGTGATCACTGTTCACTAGGGCTTAAGTAATTAAGACCCTGCCCATTATTTGGTTTGATATTCATCTATACTTCCTAAAAATGATTTCTTTTGGAAACGTGTAATTTGGAAAAGAGTTGATTTGAAATCTTAGGTTGAGAAAATTCTATGTGGATTGTGATGTGGAGTAAATGTTATGTTGAAGTTGAGAGAAGTTAAGGGGTCGTTTACTTCATTTTTCTGTTTTCCCATTTCCAGTTTTCAATTTCTCCATTTTTCCAGTTTTCCTTCTCCATTTCTCCAGTTTTCCATTTCTCCAGTTTTCTCATTTTCATTCCCTATTCCTCCAATTTTTCATTTCTCTAATTTTCTGATTTCATTAAATACAATAATCTCATATAGCATTTGTACATTTCTACAACAAAGATATGATAATAATAATAATAATAATAATAATAATAATAATAATAATAATAATAATAATAATAATAATAATAAAAATAAATAATAATAATAATAATAATGGGGTGCGATCTCATGCAAATGGCCGCTCAGGTGCGAAATGCAAACCAATCAGGGCGCGCCACATGTCAACATTCATTGATCGGGTGCACCTAATTTCACCTACAAGTGTACCTACTTTCACCTACAAGTGCATGTAATAATTATATGTGAACCTAGTTATAAATATATGTGCACCTAGATCTGTACACGTGGCGCGCGCTGATTGGTTCGCATTTCGTTCCTAGACGCGCTATTCGCACTAGAACGCGACCCTAATAATAATAATAATAATAATAATAATAATAATAATAATAATAATAATAATAAAGAAGAAGAAGAAGAAAGAAAGAAAGAACAGGCATAGAAACGAAAGAAAAGGAGAAAAACAAATAATAATAATAATAATAATAATAATAATAATAATAATAATAATAAAGAAGAAGAAGAAAGAAAGATAGAAAGAAAGAACAGGCATAGAAACGAAAGAAAAGGAGAAAAACAAATAATAATAATAATAATAATAATAATAATAATAATAATAATAATAATAATAATAAAAGAAAAGGATTAATAATAATAATAATAATAATAATAATAATAATAATAATAATAATAATAATAACAACGAAAGTAAAGGAGCAAAACAAATAATAATAATAATAATAATAATAATAATAATAATAATAATAATAAAAAAGAAAGAACAGGCAAAGAAACGAAAGAAAAGGAGAAAAACAAAAGAAAGAAAGCGCATTACTACGTGCACAAGAGGATTCGAACCAAAGACCTATTTAAACCATGCACTGTTCACCTGTGTCCCCTTCCTCTCTCCCATTTGGAGAAATCCAAATAATCTTTCTCCAAAATTGTACATAAGGTTGGAGAATGGAGAGGAGTTAGGAAATTAGAGATAAGATTTTAGTAAACAAGTTTTCCATTTTCCATTCTTCCACTTCTCCAATTCTCTGTTTTTCCAGAAAATCCTCCATTTTTCTATTTTGGTAAACGACCCCTAAGCCTTGTGGCTAATTATTTTTGAATGTGAATATATACTGTATTAAATCCATTTTACAGGGTAGAGTAAACCTTACTTAGCAATGTTTTGCTAATTTTATTGTTTCGTGTTTCTCCTGTTTGTGATTTGTGCAGGTGAATGAATAAGTTGTTGGCTGAGAGCGCGCCTTAGAACGTAGTAGCTGTTTTATTTATGATGTTTTGGAGTTATTGATTCATATTGTATTTCTTTAGTTTTTGGATTAAGTTGTGATTGAATGTTATGGTTTAGAGCCTTACATCTAGTCAGTGTTAGATTAGATGTGGCGGTTTCACCCTCATTTATTATTAAGGACTTAAAGCTATTTTGTAAGTTGAATTATTAATTAGTTTTTAAATGGTGGTATGCGTACTTCAGGAATTCTATTCATGGCAGTTTCTGTTATAGTAGCCTATTTATAGCATGTGTTGAGAATTAAATTTGGGGGTGTTACATGTGTTGCCATCGGTCTTGTCTTTATCCTTTGTGTTGTGGTATCCTTTGTGGTTTGGGATGTGTTCCCGTGTCCTTGTTGAGAGTGTTGAGTCTTGTGTTGACTATTGATCTTGGTTTTTGACTTATATACTTATGTATTCCGTTTCGAAAATGGCTTTACAACTTATATCTTACTTATGTATGTTATTTCACATGTATTGGTGGGTTACCAGCTTTATTCGCTGACCGGGCATCGTCCCATGTTTTATTGTGTTCTTTCAGGTGATGTCTAGGCGAGTGCGCAGTCTAGTGCCTGTTAGCATAGCTTCTCCCGTTGGTTTTATGGCCTGTGTGCCGCTCTAGTTATAGACTTTGGAGACTTTTGGATAGTTGTAAACAATGCAGATATTGCCGTAGCGTTCATCCTTGTTGGTGAACGTGGCATAACACCCCATGACTTGGATTTATATTTATCCAGTTATCTTTTAGTCTTCCGCTGTTAGGCTTAGGACTCTAGGTTTGAGCCTAGCAAGGAGTTAAGTCTAGACTTTCTAAGTGGCTAAGTGTGGTTTGAGAACTTTAAGCAACCTTAAGAATCTAAGTGTTAGGTTTAGGACTCTAGGTTGCGCGGTGAGCTGTGTAACACCCCGAAATTTTTGAACTTTTTAGAACTTATATAATAAAGGTAAATCCTCATTAAATCCCGAAATCAAACATAAGAGTATGGGGTGCTATGCCACACCTGAGCTAGAGAACTCAGGTGCACAGGCTAACTAACTAAAATCCTCAAAGTAATGTCAGTACATAAGCATGGCACGCAGGCCGAAAGGGAAACTAGCTACTCTACGCTTCAGATCTCTAGTGCGCTCCGGTGTCTACTCATCTGTGCCTGAAAGCCAAATATATCTGTTCAGCGAGAGATGCTGGTAACCCACTCCAACGCGTTGAAATACAATATAGGTATATATATATAGATATAGATATAGGAAAATCATTTTGAAGCAGGAAGATATATACTTAGGAGACTCTAGCTTTAAAACCAGGAATAAACTTAGCAAAATAGGGACAAGCACATTAATCAAGGATAATCAGTTAAGTAGAGTTAACATCATAAGGAATACGCATCCTAAGGTCACAGATTACTTTTTAATTCAAACACATCATCATTCAAGCATCATTCATATCACATAATCATTGGTGGCGCAACGGGACCAATCGCATGCCCCGAACATGAGGGTTAATGCATATAGCATTAACACGGCCCTGCAGCACCCTACCTCATACCGTGGCATGAAGGGAGTTGATCGCAACCAACCCTTGGAGGACCGCTGACGAACTCAACGCCGGACAATAATCCTACACACCGCTGACGCGCACAGTCGGTGGACTGTGATCCCCTTTACAAGGGGGGACATACGATCCTACACACCGTTGATGCGTACAGTCGGTGGACCGAAGCGGATCAAGCCCTACACACCACTGAGGGACTCAGTCGGTAGGCGAAGATCCTCGGAGACTACGATGCTACACACCGATGTCCCATCACTCAGTGGATCACAGCCAGCCGTAGCCCTACACACCGCCTGATTACTCAGGTCGGTGGACTACAGCCTTCCTCGGTTATTGGCCCTACACACCGTCTGGCGCGTCCAGGTCGGTGGGTCATAGCACCGAGGCCCATGTGGACCGCAGCCCAAGAAGTGAATCATTTCGACCTTTAGCCAACTTCTGAACCTCAGCTCAGGGACAATCAATTCGGCCTTCAGCCAACTTCCGAACCTCAGCCCAGGAACACCCAATTTGATCTTAACCAAAATGGGGGGATCATACATCACATAACACATAGGAGCACGTAGTAGCATATTGGGAGGGGAAGACATATAAATAAACTTACGTGTGATCATTCACATACTAAGAATAATCCTAAGGGGTTCATACAACTTCCACCTAGGTCAATGGGTTACCGATTCAACTAGCATGCAATTCCTAAGACTCTTTTATCCTACGAATGGTGTAACACCCCCCAAAACATGCTATATAAAAAGCCTTAACACATGCAGATAACACAACTAAACACTAGCACAGCGGAAGATTAAAAGATAACTGGATAAACGTAAATCTCACACATGGGGTGATACGGCACGTTTACCAACAACGATAAACGCTACGGCAAAACTGCATGTTTCACAACTATCCTAAAACTCACATGTCTATAACTAAATCAGCTCACAGGCCGTAAGACAAACGAAAGGAGCTATACTATCGGCACTAGACATCGCGCTCGTCTAGACATCACCTGAAAGAACACAACAAAAACATGGGACGACGCCCGGTCAGCGAATAATGCCGGTAACCCACCAATACATGTTATGTATCATATATATATATATATATATATATATATATATATATATATATATATATATATATATATATATATATATATATATATATATATATATATACAAAATCATTTCAAAATGGAATACATATATATATAAGTCAAAACCAAGAGCAAACACCAACTCAAGACTCATCACTCTCAAGGATAACACGGGAACACATCCCAAGACCACAAAGGACAACAACTCAAGGATAAAGACACGACAAATGGCAACACATGCCTAGGCGCACACGCCTTTGTGACTACACACGTCACAAGAAGAGAACACACAACCACGGCTACACAAGCCCTCGTGACATCACACATCACGAGTTGATATGCCTTCCTTATGCCCTGTTCCAACCTTATGGCTACTCCCAATCTTATATCTAGTTCCAACCTTTACCTCCAGGACCCCTGTACACCAAGTCCAACCTTATTCCCCCGGGAACCGTCGTTCCCCCTCCAATAGTCCTCCAACAAAACCACCGATTTCATAGTACACGAAGTACCGTACACACACATGGCAACACATGCCCTGGATAACACATGTTATCCCAGTAATAATCACGTGAACATTACACAAAGGCCACAGCTCCATAATCACGTCACGGCCACCACGAGGACCGCTGCAATACCTTGGTGACTAGTGTCCCATACCACTAATCGTGCAATCCAGGTAAAGCCACACACACCACACCTCAACAGGAATCAATCAACGGATCACAACAAAGATATGAAACCATACTCAATCAAGGAATGGGTCACAGCCCAACAACAACAACGATGAATAACACAAGTTATCATCAATCAATAAGAAGGTACAAGCAACACACACGCTAGCATTTAAACACCGAACTAGCATGCTTATCAAACGGGTAAACCAAACGTAGTTCCGAAGAACACACAAGACTCGTCACGGTTCAACGAAACACGATGTTGAACACTTAGCACGATTCAAGACACCAAAGTCCTACATGGATACCTACCATATAGTTCTAGACATACCAAAAATCAAGAAGACACTCAAAAAGTTCCACAAAAGAACATCGGGAAGTCAAAAGACCAAATACCAAGTCAAAAGAATCACGGGGAACAAATCCCCACCTTCACCATAACATGTACCCGCGGGTAGGCTCACGGGTAGGCCTCTACCCGCGGTTCCGCCCCCGGGTACAGGCCTCCCACCTTGTGTACCCCGCGGGTGGGCCTCCTACCTGTCGTTCCGCCCGCGGGTACAACCTGTACCACAACATCACACTTCGCGAAATTCATCTCCAAACACAAATTCAAGTCCAAAACATGTCAAATCTCACCCAATACAACAAAATGACTTGAATCAAAGGAAATGCCAAGCAATGGCACAAAAGGACCCTAAACACAAGCTCTAGATATGCATTTTCACAAGACAAATGTATAAACACTCACATTTCATAGCAAAACACATGTAGAATCCAAGAAATCACATATAGGTAAGCAAAATAGATTTTGTAGAGCATGGGTTACCTCTTGTAGACTAAAAGACTTCACTTTACACCTCAACAAGCTCGTCACAAGGCTCACTTTCCAAACCCACTTCAAGAACAAACCAAAAGATCATAAAGATCCTACCTTTAAGAAAAGACACCTAAGATGGAACCAAAAACACAAGATGGACTTAGATCTTACCCTCCTAGATGCCCAAATAGGTGAAAGGTTGAATCTTGGAAGCAACTCTTGAAGTCTTGGCAAGGTCTCAACTTGGCTTAGAGGAAAAGCTACTCACCTTTTTAGAGAGAAGGTAGAGCTAAACTTTTAGTAAGTGTAAGGGATAGAATGAAGAGGTCTACTTGGTTAGGTTACAATACTAACACTTTGTGTAAGGTCAAGAATTCCCTTAATAACATTAGGAAATGTAAGGAACAAGGGAACTCCCTTCAAAGCTCAAGGTACAAGTTTGACTTTGGGATTGACTAGTCAAACACTAGTCCTCAAGTATTAAATTTCAGGATTTTAGGAATTAATTCCTCAATTGAAATAGGATTAATTACTCAATTAATCCATTAATTGAATTTGGATTTCGGGGTGTCACAAATGGCACCCGAAATATAAAACTAGACTCAAGCACGACAAACGGGGTCCGTTGGGACACCATGGGGGATCGGGAAACATCAAACGGGGGAGCCGAAGACCTAGGGTGGGTACGGACCAGCGGGTAGCCGGTGGGTGGGGGTCAACCGCCGGCTGCCCGCCGGAGATCACTGTTCGGGCAGTGGGTTGCCGGCGGGCAGGCGGTTACTCGGGGGCTGCCCGTTGCCTGGCGGTGATCTTCGGGCAGTCGGTAGGTGGAGGGTTCGCCTACCCCCACCTACCCCCCGCTGACTCTTTT